GTGAATGCATTAGATCGAGTGAGATCTTGGTTATAAGCAGTTTTTACAATATTCCATAAATCCCAGAACATGAGGCTCAAACGCTGCTTCACACGTTTTATATACATATAGCCTGTGCGTGTGTGTGTGTGATATTTATTTGGTGAATAAAATATTAAGAGTGTAATTCTTTAAAAACTAGTATTGTCACGTATAGTTAAAATATTTTAGATTCAATTACTAGTATTATCTATATATATCTGTGATAACCTAGCTGTTTTACTGTCCTTCGTTGACAGAATTGTATAATTTACCTTTCACTGTTGATATATTTATAACTTGATTTAGTCACGATATGGCTGAAATATTGCTCATGTGACTTAAAATCTTAACTCACTCACTCACTTTAAAAACTAGGTGACCTCGCCTGTGGTAAAACGCAATACTATCATAACGATGTCACGACTTATGTTGCAATGTCGCTCGTTTCCTGCCATCATGGTGCTACGTGTAGTGACAGCTTCCTCACACTCTACATTATTACATCAACACGCAACTACATGTTACAAGTCCGGTATTACTTTACCCATACAGGGTCATCCGATATTGCTGCCTTGCTGCATAAAAGATGGACTGTTGCATGGTCAGGATCACGGCTGTTGATCACTGGAGTGTCTGGTCAAGACTCGATTATTTACAGACCGCCGCCATATAGCTCGAATATTGCTGAGTGAGGCGTAAAACAAAACACACTCACTCACATAATTAACAAGAACAGGTTGCTGGGAACATATAGTCTTACGTACAATTACCACCTCATATGTTAAGTCGGGTTGTGACAAAAGGCAAATGTTGCTGGGAACATATTCTAACCAAGAAAGACCACCTGGCCTATTTGGATGCGTATGGACAACCAGCACAGGTTGTTGGGAACACATTCTAACCCAGAATGACAGCCGATAGATTTGGCTGCGTCCTGACAACCAGCACAGGTTGCTGGGAACACATTCTAACCCAGAATGACAGCCGATAGATTTGATTGCATCTTGACAACCAGCACAGGTTGCTGGGAACACATTCTAACCCAGAATGACAGCCGATAGATTTGACTGCATCTTGACAACCAGCACAGGTTGCTGGGAACACATTCTAATCCAGAATGACAGCCGATAGATTTGGCTGCGTCTTGACAACCAGCACAGGTTGCTGGGAACACATTCTAACCCAGAATGACAGCCGATAGATTCGGCTGCATCTTGACAACCAGCACAGGTTGCTGGGAACACATTCTACCCCAGAATGACAGCCGATAGATTTGGCTGCATCTTGACAACCAGCACAGGTTGCTGGGAACGCATCCTAACCCAGAATGACAGCCGATAGATTTGGCTGCATCTTGACAACCAGCACAGGTTGCTGGGAACACATTCTAACCCAGAATGACAGCCGATTGGTTTGGCTGCGTCCTGACAACCGGCATATCTTGCTGGAAACCACCCCAAGCTGACATCCCAGTGGATCCCACTGATTTGGTCAGATAAGATGATACGAATCCCTAAGCTGTGATATGGAAACAACAAAAGAATTTGTTCCAGTGCATTCAACCTTTTGGCAAAGACCAAGGTTACATGTTTTATTCAGCCAAAGAACAGACACACCACGATTTTAAATATTTAGTGTAATAACTTAGTATTACAATGCCATATCAACTGGAATAGTAAACCTACGATACTCTATCAGATCATCACAGTCAACACTATGTCCCAAATGGATCCCCAAGTTTGAATACAATACAACTATATATTTGCTGGGGAGATACAGCCCTTCTAGCAAGACCAGTCTTATGAAGGTGCTCCCCTCAACCTTCTGAAAATGACAATGGTCTCTCTTTATAGATATATGATGTACGGAGGTCGTATAGCAATACACTCCGAATTACCATACTTGGTGTATGTCTCAAGACACTATCCCCAAATGGATCCCTGATTGTGAACACAATACACCTATTTGCTAGGGAGATATAGACCCTATAGCAGGACAACTGTTACGAAGGTGCTCGGCACGACCTTCTGAAAATGGCAAAGAAATGGTATCTCTTTATATGTGTATGATGTACGGAGGTCGCATAGCAATAGGCTCCGAATTTTCATACTTGGTGTATCTCTTAAGACACCCTCTTGCAAATGGATCCTTCCATGCAGGTAGCAAAGGTACTGTAAGTCCCCATGGTCCCTGGTATGGTGATCTACCTTCAGTTGTTGGCGATCTATAGCCTGTTTTTATATTGTATTGTCCAAATAGTGTTATTAGTTTTAATTGTGATATTCTAGTTGTTTTACTGTCCTTTGGTGACAGGTTTATATAATATACACACTTTCCATTTCAATGTCAAATTTGTTCTCGTCACGATATGCCTTAAATATTGCCGATGTGACGTTAAATATTAACTCACTCACTCACTCCAAATGGATCCCCAAGTTTGAATACAATACACCTATTTCCTTGGGAGATATAGCCCTTCTAGCAAGACCACTGTTATTCGACCTTCTGAAAATCATATATGTATGATGTACGGAGGTCGTATAGCAATAGACACTAAACTCCCATACTCCCATCTCCCACATGGATCCCAAAGTTTGAACACGCTACAAGTGTTCAGTAGGTGCAATCTCGACCTTCTGAAAATGGCATAGTAATGGTATCTCTTTACGTATATATGACACCAAACTCCCACACTTGGTGCATCTCTTTAGATGTCATCTCCCACATGGATCCCAAAGTTTGAACACGCTACAAGTGTTCAGTAGGTGCTCCCTCGACCTTCTGAAAATGGCATAGTAATGGTATCTCATTGATATGATGTAAGGAGGTCGTATAGCAATAAAAGCCAAATTCCAATACTTAGTGTATCTTTGAAGACGCCATTCTCTGCTATAAAACATAAAAATAATGTCGAAACACCAAGGCCAATGTGAAAGTGTAAAAAATGATATAATAATAAATTCTACCATGGCTACGTGAAATGAACGATTTTGATTGGTCAATCAATAAAATTAGACGCTATCAATGTTGGATTAAAAGTTCGTCTGATTTCATGACAGCTTCACTGCGCACGTACACAACACTGCCGCATCAGTTTGACCACCAACATGGCTAATATCAACACAATAGACGTGATGGAAATGCTGATAAAACGTTTATTAAAACTCAAAAAATACAATTATTATATGATTTTTCCTCCACAATTATTAGGGAACCTCACTATCATAATTATTACCTTCTATAATGAAAATATTCAAACTCAGTTACAATACACAGCCCTAAACATAAACAAACAATATATAAACATGTAAATCAGAAAGCCTTGTAAATTTCATCCCCATCTATACAAAATGTGTAGCAAATCCTTATTAAACATTTACCTACCTGGTAAATGGTATATTTGTTTCCATTTAGAATCATAAGAATGGGAAATTCGCAAGATAACGGTCAGGCGAAACACAACATTTATGCCGCTCACACTCAATCATGCCCCGTTGCATAGTTCAAAAATACATGTTAAAAATTGAACCACCAGAATTCTGCTCTCTGCCAGCTTCCCCACAAGGCTGTCACTGCTGGTGATCTATGTTCGTACACTTTGAATAATGTTTGTCCACAATCCAGTCCCAAATGATGAAAACAATGTTCCAAGAAATCCCAAGTTAGTCGCATGTACACAAAGCAGCACTGTCACTCTTTTCGTCGCGTGCCGGGGTGGAGGCACCTACAGCCTATGTAAGTGAAATCATGATCCACACTCGCTGGTCATACAAATCATCCAATAGTTACAGGTCGTAGGTCGATCAGAAAAGGATCTATTCTTCGATTCTGCTGGGTTCGGATTCGACAGTCAGTCAAGTATTTTCCACTGTCACTCAAAATATAAACACTGGCTGTCCGCCATTTCAAACTGTTGCGTAACTGTCAACAACTACAGACTGCACTTCCAAGAAAAATAAGTAGGTCAGACGATTCCATTATAGTGTGGCCAGGGGGTTAGAGTAACACGTCACGCAAAACAATAGGCTGGTTTCGGTCGTGTGGAGTTGGGATTATATAAGCCAAGCTCTTGGGTATTATATTATTGCATTGAATAAACAGTAGTTAGTTTTCTTTGGACCGAATATTATGTATGTTGCAATGTTTAAAAAAATACGAACGGCACCTTCCACTCCCTTTACAGACGAGTTCAATTCGCCTCTCGCACCATGCCGGATTTCGCAGTGTTTTCCGTGGAAGGAAGGAGTTCGATTTTAAATTGGTTATGGAAGAATGGAGATAAACGTATTGTGTTGTAAAATTAGATGAATGTTAGGCAGAATTGTTCTTTAAAATAATCATTTGAAACCTCAGGCTACGCGTTCGATTCCAAATGAAATTGAGAGACTATCAATTCTGCCTAACATTCATCTAATTTCCGAAAGCAGGACGTTTATCTCCTAAATAATATTACCTGTTTCATAGAATAAGTGTACCTTTGCGTCGATGTTTTAACACTTTAGCTTTCTTTTTTCAAACACTGCTCCAAAACCCATCCTAAAGACCAATGATCCTCTTACATTTCGTTTTGTTAATTATTTAATACTTTTCGGAAAGAAGGCGTTTACCGTGGAAATGAGTTAACTTCATTCATTATGTTCATTATTAATTGGGATTGTCCTGATCGGTCCTCGGACACGGAGGAAGAGTTGTTTTATTTGCAGATATCGTCACCAGTGTAACACTTCATGCAGTCGTTTGACCACTGTAAGAGCTACTGTACTTTCCATTCTATGTGTCGTTTAATGTGCTCATGCGATCGACACAGTGAGTAAGTGAGTTTTAGTTTTACACCGCTTTTAGCAATATTCCAACAATATCACACAGTGTACCCATGTGGGGAATCGGATACGGGTTTTGGGCGTGACGAGCGATAGCTTTAACCACTTGGCTACCCCACAGCCCCCGTTCAACACATATCCACAAGCAACAGAACAGTACATCTTCAATCGTGCGTTTGCCAGCATCTACAACGTGTAATGTCAGATCTACTTGCGGCATCTTGATAGGAAATGTATCATTTTAAACCACGTACAAGCAATTACATTTCTGCAGGAAATACGGCATATCTCGGGAAGGCAGATTGGCCTCATTGTTGTCTGTCAGGAAGCCGCTATGAGTTTAGTTTTCCGTTGACCTCTTGACTTCCTGCCTATCATACACACGCAGTCACCAGAGTCTCCAACCGTCCACAACACGACTTACAGCTTCTTTGAACCTATATTCTATTTGTCAATATGGCGGGTAAGAGTTTTACTTGTTTGAGTGGCATTTTAGAAGTTGAGACGTACAATATGGAACAAGTTTTTATGGATAACAACTTCTTTATTTCGTGAGTGCGACGTTTCGATACAGATTTATGCTGTGTATAACAATGAAACAACATACATTGTAATTGACAAAGGAAACAACATAATTGCCATAATTGGTTAAGCAGTAAGCTGATGAAGCCAGTGAGTACACAGAGGATAGTGAATGGAAGCCAGAGATGTATAAATACAGGAGTGGTACAATGAAGGAGATGTTTATACAATAGGTGCGATGTTTATACAATAGATTGGGTACTCACTGGCTTCATCAGCTTACTGCTTAACCAATTATGGCAATTATGTTGTTTCCTTTGTCAATTACAATGTATGTTGTTTCATTGTTATACACAGCATAAATCTGTATCGAAACGTCGCACTCACGAAATAAAGAAGTTGTTATCCATAAAAACTTGTCCCAAAGAGTTTTACTATAAAACAGCTGCTGGTCTTTCACGAAGAGTGACGAATTCATATTTGGTTTCTGAATTACCTTAGTTACATGCACATGGGTAATGCATGCATCTCGTATTGATGGGAGTTGTACTGCATGCACTTCTGTCACCGTCATACAGTATACACACATGTGTGCATTGAATGTTCATGACTCCGGAAATATATTCTACAATTTATCATATGTGAGTGAGTTTTGTTTTCGATCGTATTTAAACTAAATTCACTCACTCACTCCGTCTGAAACGATTGTTCTTCAGACATATCCCCTTAACTCTCCAGTGCCCCGTGTGCATGTATCATGTATACAACATTTAACCTGTGTGATGACTATATGCTGCCTGACGATGTAAGGGTTGTCTCCCTTAGACTACCTTGGATAATTCCATACTGCACTTTTGTGCAAGTGGAAGATTAGCTTTTCACACAGATCATACAAAATAGGCAGTGCCATGTTGACTGCTTGTATCCCTGCATTAGGATTTTCATTCGTACAGTTTACAGACGAAATACTAAATTTTAAAATTAAGATGAAACGCACGTTTTCCTATTCGTATACACGATGACATGTATAAACCAAGAGAGCGAACCTGACCACGTCATTTCGTTAATCACGTGTAACCCAGATCGTCACGGTAGCAGTAGCAGTAGTAGTATGTATGTATGTATGTATGTATGTATGTATGTATGTATGTATGTATGTATGTATGTATGTATGTATGTATGTATGTATGTATGTATGTATGTATGTGTGTATGTGTGTATGTGTGTGTGTGTGTGTGTGTGTGTGTGTGTGTGTGTGTGTGTGTGTGTGTGTGTGTGTGTGTGTGTGTGTGTGTGTATGTGTGTGTGTGTATGTGCGTGCTTGTTTGCGTGCATGCATGTATGGATGGATGGGATGTATGCGATGCGAGCGTGCGTGTGCCTGTGTGTGTGCACCCATACAGCGTGCCTATTTCACTCACTGTGTTGTGGTTGTATAGCTTCAGCTGACAGTTCCTGGCCATGGGACCTGATTGACGCAAATAATGCAGTCTGCTGTTAAAGTTGCATAAACGCTGCATGGCTGGGTAATTTGCTCTTTCAAGGTTATTTTCAAAGAACAGTTTGAATAGGTAATGTTTCAACAGCTTGAATAGGCAATATTTCAACAGTTTGAATAGGCAACGTTTCAACAGTTTGAATAGGTAATGTTTCAACAGTTTGAATAGGCAATATTTCAACAGTTTGAATAGGCAATGTTTCAACAGTTTGAATAGGCAATGAACTCTATGTAGACAAACTAAAAGTGCTAACCCAACAATGAGGCCAGATATTTCAAATTGGACAGTTCCCAGATTGGTGAGTTTAGGGTCATATGTTAAATCTTGTATGAAGACTGACCCACACAACTATAAGGGATTGGTATATATAATTGGTAGTACACGTATATCTTAACATTATATCCTCCACGTATTCTAAGCTTACATCAGGTTTTAGCAACAGCTGCGAGCCCTACTTCTTCGTTCAGGTGTGAGGTCGGTATCTGGCAGTCTGCCGCTATTCATTATACATGTATTTATTAACAGGGTTATCGCAACTTTGGACGCATCTGGCGGAAAGGGCGTTCACCAGTCTAAGTAAACTTAGGCTCAGTATTATTTCGTTACACTGCTATACTGAGTCTAACAAAACCTTGTGGAAGGTCGCGTCAGGTAACCTTTTCAGTTGGGCAATCAGAACACAGCTTACCAAATTGCGAAAGTTGACATTCGCACATACCGTTTGAACTTTTACCTCGAAAAAGTTTTGTACCCGAACGATTCCGAATGCTATTTCCCGTAGTGATACACATGGAGCACGCCAAAACCGTGAGTAAACAGTCGCTGAAAATAGCGTTTTGTCAGTATTCAAGGATGTCAGATTGCGGAATTATTAGCTAATGATAACCATGTCAACAGAAACCCAAAAGCGTATCCTGCAGGTCATATATCTGTGTTTAATGAGGGTTTTCATTTGTTGCGAGATCATTTTGTGCGACCAGGGAAGAGTAAATTCATTTTGTAAGTCCCGCCGAACCCTAAATAGTAGCCATTGTCTGATTGGTTAAATCCGTTCTGTCGTCTCGCGTTTGATTGGACTGTCATAGGTCGCTCAAAGGTTACCCGCGCGACCTTCCACAAGGTTTTGTTGTACTCAGTATAGCAGTGTAACGAATGATACTGAGCCCAAGTTTATTTAGACTGGGGCGTTCACATCTGTGGCAACAAAGTAAATGTGTTGCCTTGATGTTTGTGGATGACATGTCAGGTGTTGCGGACACAGCTCTGGGTTTACGGAGGAGAATGAATGCTTTAGGGCTATTTTGTAAGCAAACAGGGATGGTGGTTTATCTCAGAAATAAATAAGGTCGTGATCTTTAGAAACTCTGGGCCCCTACGTACCTATGAACAGTGACAAACACTCATTCACTGCTCGCTGCTACCAGAATTAACAGTATTCATGAAGGCAATCATGTTCTGTTCCAATTATGGACATTTTGGGAAACATGATGTTTCCAATTTTGGACATTTTTGGAAATATGATATTTCCAAATTGGAAATTTTGGGAAATCACAATTTTTTTCTTGTGCATGTTCTGACAATATTCTTCTGCTATTTCAGCTAAAGCAGTGTTTGAAAATATCACTGGTGAGTACTGCATGACTTCGAAAACGATTTTCTAATGATGACCACCATGAAAGTCTTCATATTGACATACTCCATGCAAAAGATTCAGTAATCCGGACACATGTTAATGCGGGCTATTTGTATTGCTTTCACTGTGTTATAGCACAATAAGTTGTGAAATATGATTAACTACTTACATAAAAAGCCTTTATATCTGGAAAGAGTCCCATGGTTTATATCTTAATTTACTCTTTGTCCCTTTAGATGCAACAAGGACGTTGATACAGTATCAAGACGCAAGAAAACATGTTTCGACGTTTTATGAAAGATCAGCCCTAAAAATACTGAGAAGAACTGGATCTATATTCATCAAGGGAAAATCAGGCTCAGGAAAGTCCAACCTTGGTCTCAGGTTACTGGCGCATATCAACTCAGAAACTAAACGGACGCCTGTTGTAATCACATCTGCCTCTCAGTGGAATACCATTCCAAAGTCAGGAAAAGAAAACTATATTGTCATGTTGGATGATATATTTGGTTCCAGCAGTATGGTGCAAACACGTGTTGATGAATGGCTGGGAAAGTTCAATACCATGTGGCCATTCATAGAGACAGGAAGAATCTTCATAGTCTTAACATCAAGGCCTGAGATATATGACCAGTGTGCAAAACAACTAAACACAACCATACTTATGAGAAACATGAAATGTTTAACTCTGCACAAAGACGAGTTTAAGCTAAGAGAGAGTGAGAAGAGGAGATTTTTGAAGTTGTTTTGTGGGAAGTCTGGTTTCACCAAGGAAGACGTCCAGGAGATAGTAGAGAAAGCTGAGCCGCCCCTTGGGTTTCCACAATGTTGCAATTTCTTTGCCATCAGCAGACGAGCACAATCAAATGGCAAACATTTTTTCTTGAAACCGTATGAGTTTATCGCCCAAGAACTAGACATCTTGGAAGAGAGCGACCCTTTTGGGTACTTTGTGTTGCTGCTTGTGATGATTCATAATGGTCGATTGGGATCAAATGAGTTGGACTCCATCCGACCATCAGAGGACTTTCGTAAGGCAGTTCATGCTTTGAAAGACATTTACAAGCTGCCATGCATGCCATCACGCATCAACATAAGACAGAAAGCTGAATCACTAAGCGATGTCTATCTCATACATTGCAACAAAACTTTCCAGTTTTGTCATCAATCAATATTTGATGTTTTATTTCTGAAAGTGAGTCAAAAAGATCATTCAGTTTGTATGAAGATATGCCCAGCCCGTTTGTTGGTTGAACATGTGAGAGCACAAAAACAAGAACACCTTTCTTCAACCAGTGGTATGTTAGAGATCCCATTCGAGAGCTTTGGTTTATTAGCTGATAGAATCACTTCAATACTGTTGTCAGATGAGGATATTGAAGTACTTGACCATCAGTCATTACGAGAAACATGTTTCGTCCAGTTCTTGTTTCACAAATGGTGCAAAGATGTTGCTGTATCTAAACTGTTCAAGGCCACTTTCAAACACGTTTTGAAGGCAGAAGTGCCCAATCCTTGTAGAGAAGGTGAAATGATTTCATTGTTTGAATGTGATAGTATGCTGTCGTGCATGGCATTAAAGGGAAACACTGAGCTTACTTATACCCGTTTCTGAACAATATTTGAATTCCTCAGTGCTTCAGCAGGTGCTTGCATGTGCCATATTTGGCTGCAAGCATCAGCTGTATGATATGCTAATGGCAATGGGAGTACAATTCAATGACGATTGTTTCCGAGCATTGTGTGCCATCCAAAAGAAAGATATGGATATAGCCAATCATGTTGTGTTTTCACCAGATGTGCAATATTTCAAGATGCCAGATTTTACCAACTTGTTCACAATTGCTTTTCTGAATCACAACCCGCAGATGGCAAAACTTCTTCTGAATCCCGACCCATTGCACTTGCCGATCTTTAGTGCATGTGTAAAAATGCTATTTCAGGTTTTGGAAGAGCTGTCTTATTCACAGAGCAGCATGTTTGAACTAAATGACTATAGAGATGAAGCATACACTACTGTCATTGAGGGGCTATTGAGGACGGGCTGCAAGATCGACCCAGAATCCCTCCTACTTTGTGCAGCATGCCATGCAACAGCAACAGCCATGCGGTGTATATTTAAGGTATGCCCCCTCATTAACGTGAACAACATGCTTTGTGAAAACACTGCTCTTGAACTGGCGCTAGTTTATGGAGGAGCTGAATGTGTGTCATTACTTCTGAACCACGGTGCGGAAATATCTGTGACAGAAAAGAAATCATCAAAATCAAGTGTGTTACATATGGCAGCAAAGTCGAAAAGAAGTAGTAAACAGAAACTGGAAATGATGTTTGCAAAAATTGTGGCAGATCCAAAAACTACTGATGTTCACAACCAGGCAGGCACAGATATGCAACAAACAGCTATCGACATAAACGGCAAAGAGCGAACGAAAGACATTTCAATCCCCATGAGATTAGAACATTTAGTAAATAAAATAAATCTGTACAAACAGACACCACTTCACGTGGCAGCCGCTGCTGGAAACGCAGATTCAGTTGAATTCTTGATACGTGCTGGAGCTAGGATAAATGATCAAGGTGATTTTAACATGACCCCACTTCACATGGCCATGATGGTAGGTCATGCGGAGTGTATCACACACCTTATAGAAGCAAATGCATCTTTGGGAATTAGGGACGAGTTCCAAACCCATCCTTTAGACATAACATTTGATAGCAGCATCAGTTCCTTGAAGGCAATTGTTTCAACTCTGAAAACAAGCTTAGAAAACAATAGAGAACTCAGTGGTCCCTTGCTCATAGCCGTTCAAAATAATGAACTAGACAAAGTAAAGCTGCTGTGCGGGAATGGAGCTGATGTGAATTCGAACTTTGCTGATGGAACTCTATTACATCACGCAGTTGAGACAAGTGATATCGACATGGTGATGTACCTATGTGAGGAGGGGGCAAGTGTTCATGCCATTGATATTGATGGGCATTTCGTTGTTCACAGGGCAGTCACGTCAGAAATTGAACCAGTGGAAAAACTGATGTATCTACTTGATGAGAGACATGCACCTGTTAATGTTGAAGACAGAAGCTATAAACAAACTGCCTTGTTTTCAGCGGTGTTATCAGGAGATGATGAAATTGTCGAACTTTTGATAGAACGACAGTTCAATCATATGCATACCAATATCCATGGCTATTCGGTTCTTCATGCACTCTGTCTTCAAACGAATTTCAATGAATCCGTTTTTAAAGTGTTGTTAACATTTGATCACCAATTTCTGAACATCCAGTCTAATGAAGGCAGTACTGCTCTTCACATACTTGCAACAAACGACAATGCATATGGCATGAAAATGTTACTGACGAGAGGCGCTGACCACTCTATTCAAGACGTTGGCGGTATGACCCCATTTCATGTTGCTGCGTTGTGGAGTGTTGATTGCCTACAGCTTCTGCTCCATTTTGAGGCAGACCCGCACATCAAGGACTCCAAACGTCGTACTGTACTCCACCATGCTGCAAAGGCAAGTAGCACCAGTAGCCTGGAACACCTCGTTACATCAAAACTAGATTTAAATTCGGTTGATGAAGATGGATGGACAGCAGTTCACTCGGCTGCGGAATATGGACGCAGAGACAACATCAAATTACTGTTGGACAACGGTGCTGATCTGTACTTTCAGGACAATCAAGGGAGAACAGCCCTCCATGTTGGGTGTGAAGAAGGGCATTGCCAAGCTGTCGATTTACTTCTACAGACAATGTCAAACCCGAACGTACTGGACGAAAGAATGAGATCGCCACTTCATTTCGCTGCAAGAAGGGGAAGTAGCGACAATGTGAAGCTCTTGCTAGACAAAGGAGCAAACCCTTTTGAGAAAGACCTGAAAGGGAGAATACCACTTCATCTAGCTGTCAAAACCAATGATAGTCAATGTGTAAAGTTGTTGATCGCTGCGAAATCGGATGTATGTGCTGCTGATAAAAATGGCGACTCTCCTCTTCATCTTGTAACCAGAAGGACTCCCAGCTCCAGCTTTGAACTGCTTCTTGAAAACGGTGCCAGTTCCAACATTCAGAATAATGACGGAAACACGGCACTTCATCTTGCAGTTTCCAGGGGATTAAACAAATACGTGAAATGTCTTTTAGAAAACGGTTCAAATCCATGTGTACAGAACCACACAGAACAAACGCCATTACAGGTTGTTACTAAAAGGGGGAATCAGGACTGTGTCCGTCTTCTGTTACAATATGGCGCCAATGCCTCTGTGTGTGATACGTAAGGAAGAGGCCTTGATCACTTAGAACTGAAGTCTTTACAACTTACAAGTTAAGTGCTTAATAGACTCACTCACCTAATGAATACAGTATGCTTGTTTGTAGCATTGATGAAATTAACGAAAATGCCTGAAATAGTGACGTATCTGTTTGACGTGAGACAATAACTTCCCATTGTAGCATCATGAACCCATTGTAGAACTGTCATATTTTCAGCAGGGAGATCAGGAGATGATGAACTTGTGGAACGTAGGCCAACATTTCAATAATCTGTATACATATGCATGTGGATATAGCTCGACATAAGAAGATTGATTCTAAGGAAATTACATCAAATCACTTTTACTGTATTTGTGTGTGTGTGTGTGTGTGTGTGTGTGCATGTGTGTGCATATGCGTGCGCGTGCGGGCGTGCGGGCGTTCGGGCGTTCGGGCGTTCGGGCGTTTAGGCGTGCTTTGTATCCTCTATTCCATATTATTGTTTTCTTATATGACAAGGACCGTAAACCGGTGGCTTGTGGTATTTAACACTACGTAACCGGAAATGAATAAACATGTGACTGTACTTATCCTGGGCATGATGAGGGCTTGATAGGATAGCTACCTTCATTTATCATGTGTTTAAAGAAATGTGACTGAAGAGCTTTAACAATTATTTTGTAATTGTAGCTAGATTTGCGGGATGTCACAACAAAGCTCAGTATTATCTGAAGCCTTTTTGTACAGTCCGGTTTTGCTATACCTTGATAATATTTTATGTGAGTGTCCCTCCGTGACATAATTCGTTGGAATTAGGATGTACTTTATACACAACCTACGTTTTCGTCAAGCAAAGGTGAGAACATCAACGAACTTTTTAACTGGAGAAAATCACAAATCACTCGGTTGTCTTCTAAGGGTATAATGGCCAGTTTTGACGAAGGTCGTGTAAGAGACAAGTTTTGTGAAAAAAGGTGATTTCACTAAAAATCCCTACGAACGTATAAAAGATGACAGCCGTCATATAGTTAAGAAAGGACTAAACATTGGCAGCATCATCCATCAGATAAGCGCCATACTACTTTCTTCAACGTGGTTTGGGGGCGATGGGCTAGCCTTGTGGTTAAAGCGTTTGCTCGTCACAAATGTTATGCAGACAAAGTAAAGTATTGGATGTACACACAGGTTGTACGCGCATACCACCATAAAGGCATGTATATTGTTATAAATACATCAGTCAAGAGTTATTTTTTCCACTCTGCATTTTAATTATTATCATAAAAATATGGACATCAAAACGAAAACAATCTTTCTTTCCGGTTAACTGTTACCTCTGCCACAATGAGTGATTGAGTGAGTATGGTTTTACGCCGCTTTTTAACAATATTCCATCAATATCACAGCGGGGGACACCAGAAATGGGCTTCGCACATTGTACCCATGTGGGGAATCGAACCCAGGTCTTCGGCGTGAAGAGCGAACGCTTTAACCACTAGGCTACCCCACCGCCCACTGCCACGATGAGATGTGCTGATCTCACACAGTTTAAACAAAAGATGTGCCTTGTATTTCATGTTGGAAATGTCTACACACATAGTAATACATACTTCATGATATAGGTGACTTTCAAAATATCATAAAAGGTGAAAAACTATATATATTTGTGTATTTATCGTTCACGATGTTTGTACGATTTCCTGCGCAAGCAGCGGATTCCGGCTGAAAGGTAGAGATATGGCCACTTTGTTGTGTAGAAAAATAGGCATATTGTCACTGTCACTGAGGAATATCTTTATCATCATTCAACATTAAGGTGAAACACCATTGAAGGAAATTCTTCAGGCGTCTTCCTTCATTTACGTGATTTGCAAATTAGCTTTTGGTAGTGGTGTAATACACTTCGATCGTGGAACGAAAGAAGCGATATAGAGCCGTGATTATCAGCAAATCAGGATCAGTGATCCATCAGGGTTATTGCCTAACTCTACCCTGACTTCACTAAATACTGGATTGTGATTTGTTAATTATAGTTATATACCTCTGATTTTCCAACACAGTGTGTATTTTAAAAAAAAAATCTTAATAAACCTTTATTCAGATTTAGATGAATCTATAGTTTCATCGAAAAATAATCGACAAGAAATACCCTTTGCCCAATATGTGCCATGGAGGCACTAGCAATTTATTGAATTTTAAGAACAGAAGGTGTTGTGCATGAGTATCAATGTATAAAATGCGCAGGGTACAACATGTAAATATTGAATAATTCTTTTATTGAATTTCATTGAATAAAATATGTAAAATGTGCATTTCTATGAATCCTTGTTTGTAACCACACACACACACGCACGCACGCACGCACGCACGCATGCACGCACGCACGCATGCACGCACGCACGCACACACACACACACATCCCGGACGTAAAACAAGATTGAGAACAATCTCACACGCACCCTTTTAAACTCAAAGTGGATTTCACTGACATGAACAAAGACATGCTACCTTTGCACCACTTAAAGGACACCAACCCGACATCTTTCTCAATACTCACGGCCACAAATATTGACCCATTTCATATACCCATAGCAGCACCCACAACACCCAACTGGCACCCATCTCAGGACCCACGACGATCCAAGTTAGCAATCCCTTCCTCCTATATTTCCTGTGTAGATGTATTCAGTCTACCTATGTTAGTTAATGCTGTTGCTATAGACCCAAGGACCAAGCATGCTCCTGAAATGAAGAAACAAAACAAAAAAGTTATCCTGAAAGTGACTATTTAAACGACCTTTACACAAATATCCAATACTCAGTTGAGTTTCTGTGCATGTTGAAAACAGGAGATCCTTCTTTGTTTGTAGATTACTGTCACAGATTGAATACAAGTTATGTTCCATATGTACAATTGTCATGAAATCACGATAGGACGAGACGTCTGTCTGTCTCTTTGTTTGTAGATTACTGTTACAGATTGAATAGAATTTATGTTCCATATCTACAATTGTCATGAAATCACGATAGGACGAGACGTCTGTCTGTCTCTTTGTTTGTAGATTACTGTTACAGATTGAATAGAATTTATGTTCCATATGTACATTTGCCATGCAATCACGATAGGACGAGACGTCTGTCTGTATCTTTGTTTGTTGATTACTGTTACAGTTTGAAGTTATGTTGCATATGTACAATTGTCATTAAATCACGCTAAGACGAGACGTCTGTCTGTATCTTTGTTGGTTGATTACTGTTACAGTTTGAATAGAAGTTATGTTCCATATGTACATTTACCATGCAATCACGATAGGACGAGACGTCTGTCTGTCTCTTTGTTTGTAGATTACATAATTAACATAATTGGCTAGGCAGAAAACTGATGAAGCCAAGCTTTAATTATGTTGTTTTCTTTCTTACACTGTTACATCCAGTATATATATACTTCCCCCTTCTTCATGTTCTATTATGCTTATTCATTCGTTTGAATAGAAGTTATGTTGCATATGTACATTTGCCATGAAATCACGATAGGACGAGACGTCTGTCTGTATCTTTGTTTCGTAGGTTGCTTTACATCCCTACCGAGCTGCAGGTAAGATTTAAAACATTCGAACCACACCTGCAAAGACATACGTGTACTCGTATATTCCACTTCCTTTGTATAAGGTGCCTGAAAAAAAATCAAAAGCCAATGATAATAATTTACCGATAGAACGTGAGAATATTTCAGTATACGGGTAACATCAACTCAAGATACTTGCAACACTTCATTAATTCAACAATTATTTTACCACTCAACATCTGCTATTTCCCATACTACTTTCTTTGGCAACAGCATCGTGACCTCGATCTGCACGGAGCTCTCCTTCTGTTGTTAGTAGTTTGTCCTTCTGATAGTTTAGCGAGGAATGCATACTCAAAGACGAACACAAATATTTTTCAAAGCAACCATGTCAATTCTTGTGGTAAAATTGTTTCATCTTCCTCGGGCATTAGCTGTCATCCCCTCGAGATTGAAAACTGAGAGCCTACCCCAAGGTTATTATATAAATAAGAAAAGATATGAGCTACCCATGGGTATAACATACTGAGCCTTTAAGAGAAATGGTAAACAGCTGTGAAGCGATGAAATCAGACATACGTGTATAGATTCACTTGAAACATTATCTCTCCATGATCACATGTGACATATCCCTGATGTACGTACTTGTTATAGGAGGTCCCAACAAGTGACCAAGCCCGCAGAAGAAACACACGATTCCATAGGCAACGGCAACGTGGGGCAAGCCAAGCAGATTTATGATGATTGGTCCGATGAGAGTATTAATACCTTGACTGTACGTCGCATAAAAGTAGCTGAAAGCCAGCTGTGACATGTACGAAGATGAACCAACGGTAAACAAGAATGAAACTGTTCCTGCTAAACCCGATAGCCCAACTTGTAGCAACACGGCATCTATATTGGAGTCTGAGGCTGCTATCCCCGCAAATACCCGTGAGAACATACTCCCTGCTCCCATAGCAGTTAGGAGACTTGCAGCCTCTGAAGGAGATCGTCCTTTGTATTCAGCGTAGTTCGGCAAATGGAACACCCAAGCAGCTTCTCCTAGACTCCAAAGCATAATGCTCAAGCTATACACGACAAAAGGAAATTGTCCAAATATGTGAAATGTTTTACGAAACAGAGGCCAGTTAAAACATATCATTTTCCGAATGTGTTTGGTTTCATTTAAAGAAGTCGATTCTTCAAATTGTGTCGTGACTTGTGGTTGATCTTTAGAGCTGTCTATTGCCTGCATGTGCCTCGTGTGAGCTTCGTTCACCAAAGAAAGCGACGTTTCGTCAGACTTGGACATATCAACTATGTCATCAGTTTGAACTGTCTTCACGACTACGCGTTCTTGTTCCTGTTCATCGTCTAATTGATATGGTCTATCCGGATTCACTGGCCTTAGTAACGCACCTGCCACACACATGTTGAACCCAATACCTCCCATTATCAAAAATGTTCCATGAAGGTTATAGTGATGTAGAAGATACTGACAGAGTGGACCTCCCACAAACAAGCCAGCTCCAGATCCTGTCATACAGATTCCGTATGCTGCAGGCCTTCGTTTACGGAAGTACTGTCCTGGTATCACCCCGATCACATTTCCCCCAAGTCCTAAACCTACACCTGAAAATACATTAGACAGAGGAAAACGATTTATGAATACCAAAGAAAAAGAAAAGAAACTTCACATGTGTTACTGTATGTCCCAAAAATACATTCTGGTTTATGGGTGCAGTTTATGTACACTAATATAGAACAAACTTTATGGATAACAACTTTTTATTCGTGAGTGCGACGTTTCGATACAGATACTTGTACCGTTGTCAAGCATAATGGAGCATGAAGAAGGGGGAAGTATATATATATACTGGATGTAACAATGTAACAACATAATTAACATAATTGGCTAGGCAGAAAGCTGATAAAGCCAAGCTTTAATTATGTTGTTTTCTTTCTTACATTGTTACATCCACTATATATATACTTCCCCCCTTCTTCATGTTCCATTATGCTTGACAACGGTACAAGAATCAGTATCGAAACGTCGCATTCACGAATAAAAAGAATACTAAATCTAGTTGGTTATATAACCTCAGGTGGTCTTACACATTTCTACTGAAATAGAGCAAGTGACCTATAATGAAATCAAGGGGATACTAAATCGAGTTGGTTATATAACCTCAGGTGGTCGTACACACTTCTACGGGAATACAGCAAGTGACCTATAATGATCTCAAGGGGATACATCCGTCAGTTCATTATAACCGTGTTCGTTATAAACGTAGTAGTTGTGCATGCGAGATGGAATAGGCCGGGCATTGAGTGTGCGAGATGGAATAGGCAGGACATGCAGTGTGCGAGATGGAATAGGCAGGACATGGAGTGTGCGAGATGGAATTGGCAGGACATGAAGTGTGCGAGATGGAATAGGCAGGACATGGAGCGTGCCAGATTGAATAGGCATGACATGGAGTGTGCGAGATGGAATAGGAAGGACATGGAGTGTGCGAGATGGTATTAGCAAGACATGAAGTGTGAGATGGAATAGGCAGGACATGGAGTGTGCGAGATGGAATAGGCATGACATGCAGTGTGCGTGATGGAATAGGCAGGACATGGAGTGTGTGAGATGGAATAGGCAGGACATGGAGCGTGAGATGGAATAGTTAGGACATCGAGCGTGCGAGATGGAATAGGCAGGACATGGAGCGTGCGAGATGGAATAGGCAGGACATGGAGTGTGCGAGATGGAATATGCATGACATGGAGTGTGCGAGATGGAATATGCATGACATGGTGTGTGGGAGATGGAATAGTTAGGACATGGATCGTGCGAGATGCAATAGGCAGGACATGGAGTGTGTGAGATGGAATAGGCAGGACATGGTGTGTGCGAGATGGAATAGGCAGGACATGGAGCGTGCGAGATGCAATAGGCAGGACATGGAGTGTGCGAGATGGAATAGGCAGGACATGGAGCGTGCGAGATGGAATAGGCAGGACATGGAGTGTGCGAGATGGAATATGCATGACATGGAGTGTGCGAGATGGAATATGCATGACATGGTGTGTGGGAGATGGAATAGTTAGGACATGGATCGTGCGAGATGCAATAGGCAGGACATGGAGTGTGTGAGATGGAATAGGCAGGACATGGTGTGTGCGAGATGGAATAGGCAGGACATGGAGCGTGCGAGATGCAATAGGCAGGACATGGAGCGTGAGATGGAATAGTTAGGACATCGAGCGTGCGAGATGGAATAGGCAGGACATGGAGTGTGCGAGATGGAATAGGCAGGACATGGAGTGTGCGAGATGGAATATGCAGGACATGGAGCGTGCGAGATGGAATATGCATGACATGGTGTGTGGGAGATATAATAGTTAGGACATGGATAGTGCGCAATGGAATAGGCAGGACATGGAGTGTGCGAGATGAAAAAGGCAGGACATGGTGTGTGCGAGATGGAATAGGCAGGACATGGAGCGTGCGAGATGGAATAGGCAAGACATGGAGCGTGCGAGATGGAATAGGCAGGACATAGAGCGTGAGATGGAATAGGCATGACATGGAGTGTGCGAGATGGAATAGGAAGGACATGGAGTGTGCGAGATGGAATAGGCAGGACATGGAGCGGGCGAGATGGAATAGGCAGGACATGGAGCGTGCGAGATGGAATAGGAAGGACATAGAGTGTGAGATGGAATAGGCAGGACATGGAGTGTGCGAGATGGAATAGGAAGGACATGGAGTGTGCGAGATGGAATAGGAAGGACATGGAGCGGGCGAGATGGAATAGGCAGGACATGGGGTGTGTGAGATGGAATAGGCATGACATGGAGTGTGCAAGATGGAATAGGTAGGACATGGAGTTAGCGATATAATGAGACAGAAGCATGATGCTTCAGTTTGATGAACAAATATCACCAGTTCACACTTTAGTCAATGTTTAACATGAAACTCAATTTAGTGTATCACCTCTTTCCAAACAACATTCAAATGCTGTATAAACTCGCTCAAAATAGATTATAAAGTAATCATGGATTTAATGTCAATGGCATCCCTACCTGCAACAAAGCCATATGTGAGTAGTAGGCTGATCACAGTTTGGCAGAATGAGGCTACTAACATTCCTAGAAGCATCAACAGACCTCCTGTCATAGCTGTGAGCCTGGCACCAAACCTGTGTTGAACAATGCCAGCAATGGGACCTGTATATACCAAGAGGGTTAGAGTGAGTGAGTTTTAATTTTACGTCACACTCAGCAATATTCCAGCTATATGGCGGCGGTCTAGACCAGACAATCCAGTGATCAACAGCATGAGCATCGATCTGTGCAAATGGGAACCGATGACATGTGTCAACCAGGTCAGCGAGCCTGACCACACGATCCTGTTAGTCGCCTCTTACGACAAGCATGGGTTACTGAAGATAACCCGGACCTTCACGGGTCCCAAGAGGGTTAGAACGTGTTTCGGTAACATTGTACGATGTACAGGAAATCTGTTGTGTCTTCTGTACAAGGTTATCTACTTTGGACATTGAAATCATTCAAACAAGTTTATGGTAAACAAAATTACTAATGTTGATATATAACAACTTGTACAACTATCACGACCATGCTTTGATTGCATTAGCCTAATGGTTAATACCATACTCACTCACTCACTAAGTCACGAGAACGTTTACATTTCGTAATAACTGATTTTCATTCTTTCCACGATTAGTGAGAACATCAGCATGTTCGAAGTTTTAGTGAAAAGAAATACATGTTTTTGAAACCTCAGTCCGACTCTATTTAAAAAAGAATGATTTACCATTGCTTAGTAACAAGCCGTATTTACCCATGCCAGGTGCATAGGATGGCTGCCTGTTTTAGATAAAATACATATACGAACCAAGTAAAGTGTATGTTCCGAAAAGAGTTGAACCAATCCACGAGGTTTTCGTAACATCGCCGTCTACTTCTTCCATTATTGCTATATTTATAACTCCTGTTGAGTACGTGATGATTCCAGTTATGAATTGGATGCTGAAGACGGCCAGCAGCGCCACCCAGGCGTATCCGTGGTCAATGTCACGTGTATACGCCATCTGTGATACAAGAAACAGTTCTCCCTTATGTGTGACCCCTGTATTTAAAGAAATTATTTCCATGGTCAATATCCCGTGCAGGATCTCTGTATATAAAGCATAGTCAATGTCTATTGTATAGGTCACCTGTATATACATATGTGATGCGCCACCCAGGCATATCCACGGTCAATGTCACGTGTATACGCCATCTGTAGATACAAGAAACAGTTATCCCTTATGTTGGACCCCTGTATTTAAAGAAATTATTTCCATGGTCAATATCCCGTGCAGGATCTCTGTATATAAAGCATAGTCAATGTCTATTGTATAGGTCACCTGTATATATATATGTGATGCGCCACCCAGGCATATCCACGGTCAATGTCACGTGTATACGCCATCTGTAGATACAAGAAACAGTTATCCCTTATGTGTGACCCTGTATTTAAAGAAATTATTTCCATGGTCAATATCCCGTGCAGGATCTCTGTATATAAAGCATAGTCAATGTCTATTGTATAGGTCACCTGTATATACATATGTGATGCGCCACCCAGGCATATCCACGGTCAATGTCACGTGTATACGCCATCTGTAGATACAAGAAACAGTTATCCCTTATGTGTGACCCCTGTATTTAAAGAAATTATTTCCATGGTCAATATCCCGTGCAGGATCTCTGTATATAAAGCATAGTCAATGTCTATTGTATAGGTCACCTGTATATACATATGTGATGCGCCACCCAGGCATATCCACGGTCAATGTCACGTGTATACGCCATCTGTAGATACAAGAAACAGTTATCCCTTATGTTGGACCCCTGTATTTAAAGAAATTATTTCCATGGTCAATATCCCGTGCAGGATCTCTGTATATAAAGCATAGTCAATGTCTATTGTATAGGTCACCTGTATATACATATGTGATGCGCCACCCAGGCATATCCACGGTCAATGTCACGTGTATACGCCATCTGTAGATACAAGAAACAGTTATCCCTTATGTGTGACCCCTGTATTTAAAGAAATTATTTCCATGGTCAATATCCCGTGCAGGATCTCTGTATATAAAGCATAGTCAATGTCTATTGTATAGGTCACCTGTATATACATATGTGATGCGCCACCCAGGCATATCCACGGTCAATGTCACGTGTATACGCCATCTGTAGATACAAGAAACAGTTATCCCTTATGTGTGACCCCTGTATTTAAAGAAATTATTTCCATGGTCAATATCCCGTGCAGGATCTCTGTATATAAAGCATAGTCAATGTCTATTGTATAGGTCACCTGTATATACATATGTGATGCGCCACCCAGGCATATCCACGGTCAATGTCACGTGTATACGCCATCTGTAGATACAAGAAACAGTTATCCCTTATGTTGGACCCCTGTATTTAAAGAAATTATTTCCATGGTCAATATCCCGTGCAGGATCTCTGTATATAAAGCATGGTCAATGTCTATTGTATAGGTCACCTGTATATACATATGTGATGCGCCACCCAGGCATATCTACGGTCAATGTCACGTGTATACGCCATCTGTAGATACAAGAAACAGTTATCCCTTATGTTGGACCCCTGTATTTAAAGAAATTATTTCCATGGTCAATATCCCGTGCAGGATCTCTGTATATAAAGCATAGTCAATGTCTATTGTATAGGTCACCTGTATATACATATGTGATGCGCCACCCAGGCATATCCACGGTCAATGTCACGTGTATACGCCATCTGTAGATACAAGAAACAGTTATCCCTTATGTGTGACCCCTGTATTTAAAGAAATTATTTCCATGGTCAATATCCCGTGCAGGATCCCTGTATATAAAGCATGGTCAATGTCTATTGTATAGGCCACCTGTTTATACATTATGTGATGGGCCACCCAGGCGTATCCATGGTCAATGTCACTTGTATACACCATCTGTAGATACAAGAAACAGTTCTCATGGCCACTGTCCCTTTACATAAAGTTGATATTGCCATGGTCAATGTCGCATGTGTTTGTCATCTGTATATACAAATTCAACTTCCAATGTGAATGACGCCATAAATAGCTAAACCAATTCTACAATTTATGTTAGTGCATAAGCATTGACGATGACATTGTACTTGAAACTGCATTAATGCCTAATTTAGCTGAATGCAGTGCAAGTTGTCATTTTCTATACAGCAATATAGTTTATGACAGTAGGCCGTGTCACCAGTCTCTCAGCTGTCCCCTACTCATGTTACAGCCATGATTCATGGTGTGATGAGTTACTTAATCTCTATGACTTAGTTATGTAGGAACACTCCGCGAGGATGGTTGTTTACTACACGTCAAAAGCAGGCTATGAATGTCGTAAGACAAAGTGAGTGAGTTAGTTGGGTTTTACGACGCTTTTAGCAATATTCCAGCAATATCACGCGGGGGATACCGGAAATGGATTTCGCACATTGTACCCATGTGGGAATCGAACCCGGGTCTTCGGCGTGACGAGCGAACGCTTTAACCACTGAGCTACCCCACCACCCCCGTAAGACAAAGACGGGATACACAGGTTCGGGGAACTGTCAGACTGTATGTTAATGTATCCTGACTGTGTTGGACGTTGGTCAAATTGTAATCCAAGGGTTGTCTTTGTCATACTCGAGCCAGAGGGGTAGCCTAGTGTTTAATGCAATTGCTCGTCACGCCAAAGACTTGGGTTCCATTTCCCACATGGGTTCAATGTACGAAGCCCATTTCTGTTTTACAGAAACGACTATTTACAGGCCGCTATCAAACCGGTGAAATATTGCTGAGGGCAGTGTTAACAGAAAACTGGTCGACAAGACAGTCTAATTGGTTTAACCAACCGTCCTTGAACACCTGTGCAATACATTGCCTTGTTCTTGCTTACATATTCTTTCAACATTACCTTGCATCCTATATATGGTTTTAGTCCGTGAATTTCAGATCAATTTCAGGGGAATCAAGTGATGCTTACACGTGGTACACGACAAGTGAGATACATCAGTTTTAACAGGGACTGGAACAGACTCACATTGATGATGCATTTCCTTCGTTTCCTGACATTGTGCACAACGACATTAACAATAATCGCCTCCAACCCCCAACCCCAACCCCCACCCCACCACGAAGACGCTACTACATACAAAAACAATATAGAGATAACAATGATTGAGTATCCTGTTCGAATCCGTTTCCCGAAAACGGCTGAAAACCGTGTGTGAGTATCAGATCTAAAGTCATTCTGTGTTATTACCGTTCTTGTAATTTGGATTTTTGAAGGCGACATTCTATGTTTCTTTATGATTACGCTTTCTATTTTGTTATGCAGTTCGGCGAATTCAGTCACTAACTGGAACTGGTATACTTACAGACACCATCAGTTAGTTCCCTTACATATGAGTGAGTGAGTGAGTGATCAATATGGTTATACGCCAGTTTTACCAATATTTCAGCAACATCAAACATGTGGGAAATCAAGCCCGGACAGCGAACGCCACTAGGCTATAGCTAAAGCATCATCCTGGCCATATACTTCAATAATAGAGAGGTATGGGCTTCTGACATTGTCCCGAGTCTTCAGCGTGGCGGGCGAGCACTTTAACCACTAGGCTATAGCTAAAGCATCATCCCGGCCATATACTTCAATAATAGAGAGGTATGGGCTTCTGACATTGTCCCGAGTCTTCAGCGTGGCGGGCGAGCACTTTAACCACTAGGCTATAGCTAAAGCATCATCCCGGCCATATACTTCAATAATAGAGAGGTATGGGCTTCTGACATTGTCCCGAGTCTTCAGCGTGGCGGGCGAGCACTTTAACCACTAGGCTATAGCTAAAGCATCATCCCGGCCATATACTTCAATAATAGAGAGGTATGGGCTTCTGACATTGTCCCGAGTCTTCAGCGTGGCGGGCGAGTACTTTAACCACTAGGCTAGTGCAGAATCAAAAAGTAGAGGTGTTGTTTGAATCAAAACACAAGTATCTCATAAATATTGGGCTTCTTATCCTGATTGTTATACGCCAGATGGTACTACCTGCATGACTCCCACCGAGAAGGGTGTGTGTGTGTGTGTGTGTGTGTGTGTGTGTGTGTGTGTGTGTGTGTGTGTGTGTGTGTGTGTGTGTGTGTGTGTGTGTGTGTGTGTGTGTGTGTGTGTGTGTGTGTGTGGTTTCTCTCATACTGCAGGATGTTTCATGTTAATGTTTCAGCAACACCCATACAATGCCCACAAACAAAACTGATAATAAAGTTTCAATAACCATCAAAAAAGTAATGTTGTCAAAGAGCCGAGAACTTCACCAGAGAATGAAAATGACACAGCCGGGGAATGCAGGATTATCTGTACAATTGCCAGCCTCTGCGTGTCTTTATAACGAGTGCCCCCAAAGGAACAGGATACACTCAAGAATACCTGGTGTCATCACTGTTTGATAGTGGAAAAAGTGGAAAAGGTTTTGTCGCTTTTATTTACAAAGATCAGTTTTCGACATAGATGTCTGCTCAAGCAGTTGTTATCCTATTTGTACGGGCGCCGCCAGTCAGTCACCGGCATTTACGTACACATTGGATTGCATTACTTCAACGCATGGTGTTCCCCATGGGTAGGTCCCCGGCCCCGTCGCGTTCATGCTGAATAACGAAAGGTTTTGTTATGTACAGCCCCAGTAGCTCACGATTTCACCAGAATCACCAAGTCATGGTGGCAGAAGAAGAACCAGTTAGTCCTAATCCGGGTCCAGTGAAACAAGATTCGTTCATCTACATATAGACAGTAACTGTTCACACAAATGACCTTGATATATTCACGAGTAACAGATGCTCTAGTGTAAATAATGCAACAGCACAATTGATAGTATAACAAAAGTAGCTAAAAAAAAAGAAACAGGGTTTAGCATGGATAACAGTTAAATGTTCCAGAATCCTCAATATAGTAGTAGTAGTTGTATTTACATAAGCTGAAGTGAGTGAGTTAATATTTAACGTCACATCGGCAATATT